AGAGAGAGAGAGAGAGAGAGAGAGAGAGAGAGAGAGAGAGAGAGAGAGAGAGAGAGAGAGAGAAGAAAATAGATCAGAGCCATTGCAAACAGATTATTTCTGTCTAAGAGTATATTAATCATGAGACTTGGTGGGTTCTTACGCTCGGACACTGGCAGTGCTACACTGTCTCTGTACATTTTATCAAAACTGATACTTCGACCTGAACTCCATCATATCAGGTCTAATGTATGATAAGAAACAGGGAGGGAGGAAAGCAAGGCCCAGGAGTTGGCATCAATAGAGCTATATATACCGACTATACTTAGACAGCTTAACAGACAGATTTCTTCACTTTAGCTCAATGTTAAAATTGTTAAAATTGAACCAGCACTGTTATTGTAACATGCTGAGATAAAGGCAACAAAGCAATAAGAAATCTCCTTATATATGGCCAGCAAATGATATGGGGTTATGGGATTTATGAGTGTGTCTGTATGTCATGTCAGTCACATGATTGCTCCAACCTGTAGAAGTGTGTATAATAGTGAGTGGACACACCATTATGTCCAAAGTACCATGAAACACAAAGACACTGCCATTTTGCAGGAAGAAGAAAAGAAGGCTATATCTTTCATATATCGAGAGAATAATATCTTGTTCCTCCCAATGACTGGAGTGAGTGTGTAGAGGGTCAAATATAATGGACAAGGACAGGAAGAGGGCTGAGAGGGAGCAAGGGGAAGGAGAGTTGATGGAACTGATAGAGGAAAAGGCCACCATCACAGATGAGAGTGCAGCCGTCCCCAATGAAGGTTTGATAGCATCTTATCTCCAAGCCATGCCATTCACCTCCTGCTGAGTGTTCGTGTGTGTGTGCTTATGTGTATGAGAAAAGAGGGACAGACAGAGAGAGAGAGAGAGAGAAAGATGGGAGAAAGGAAAAGAAACACAAGCAGAGAGTGTGTGTGCATGTCAATGAGCACAAGTTTATCACAGTATGTGTGTATGCATTGATTACTACCAAGTAAATGTGAGTGTGTGCACATGTGCATTAGCCTGACATGCATTTGTGTGTTTGGCACATGCTGCTCCTTTCCTGTTCTCTTCACCTGGTTCCCTTGAGGCTAGTCCCTGTATGTCAGGCCAGTCATATCTAGAAAAGCCCACTGGGAGAGAAATGCCATCGATCAGGCGATGCTGTCAGCGTTGAATTCAGATCCTAGGATCTTCTATAAAGCTCAGCATCCTCAGCTCAATAGCCAAACGCACACTGTCTGTGTTTTTGTTCGACATACACTGATGACAGGAACTGCCTATGGAGACGTGCACTCCACCGAATCCATTCATGACTCTTTTACCTTTATTTCAACCAAGACGAATTATTCAAAGTAGACATTTAGAATTTCAAAAAGAAAAGAGACTTATGTAAATAAAAATATGATGTCTACATTATTTATTTTACTGTCATGGCTTAATGTGACATTTAAATAGAACTGAGCCATAATTAACGTTATTATTTACACATTTCCTTTTCCTACAATGACAAGTCATTGTGCCTGCGGTGCCATGATTGATATGGACTGCCCTCACTACTTTCCTTTTGCCTACAACTGAGTTTAACAACAGTGTGGATGGAAAGCAGACAAGTGTTTCACAACTGTGTCTATAATTGCGGACACTTAATGTGATTACAAATGGCTCCTGCCACATCAGTGCACATTTAGAGCAACTACAGTAAAAAAAAAAAGAGGCACTGAAAAAATGAACATCCTGTTCCAACTGAGAATCCTTCAACAACTCATTATACTGAGCTTCCAGAAGTCATCCAGTTTTTAAGATGTAAAGAAGGTCAAACAAATAACACAAATAAAACTTATACAATCATAAGTTCAATTAAGACAATAAGTTTAAGAATTAAGTGTGAACACAATTTTTATTAAACTTCAAAATTAATTTCCACGTGAATATTTTATTCTTAAACTTCAGTAGAAACAAATTTAAATACACTACTGGCGATTATAATTTGTGAGAGGCACAAATGTAGTCAAGAGTTTAAAAGTATCCCCTTCTTTAGCTGCAGAATTGAAAAGAGCAGTAAAATAATATGATGGAGGACTTCCTGCTTCTCTTACCAGAAATCCCCTAAATCCACCTGGCTTTAACATGCATCTTGCATTCTGATTGTCACTACAGTTAATATTAAGCCAGATTACACCTAACTCTGATATAAAAATGCATCACTGGAAAACCCATTGAATTTCTCCACTGCTTGGCCAGATACCCACATGCTCTGAATCTAACAGCAAACAATGTGCAATTCATTTTTTTTCAAATGCTTTACTGTAGACAATAGGTGGTTATTATGTGGTAAAACCGTCTCAGAATGTTTGAATGTGTTTTGTTTGCTCTAAACCCAACACAGTATAAAATGAAAGTCAAGTCATAGGATTTCCTGAAGTCCTTTTCCAATTTAAATCACATCAGTGTCTCACTTCGCAGCTCTCCTTCTTAATAATATTGTCAGGAAACACAAAAGGAGGAGATTTCCCTCTGCAACAAACTCAAACTCAAACTCAAACACAAATATAAATAGTTTAATTTTAAGCTGTCTCATAAACAACATAGTGATACCTAAGAATTGAAAGTCTGGGCATTTTTCCAGCATTAGACAGACTTCAGCTGATGTGGCAGAGACCAAGCTGGACTGGACTTCTGTGAGAGGCAGTGGAGCGGGCAGAATCTCGACTGCATCACAAAGTTGTGGTGCGATCAGTGACAGTTGGCCCAGCAGGTTCAGGCAGCATTCCAACAAAACCAAGGGTAATGGGATGTGGGACTTGGTCCAGATGGAAATGAAGGTTTGAGAGCTACACCCATCCAGATGGTAAGCATGTGTCAGTTGGGTGACTTGGATAACATGCAATGGATAGTAGGATCTCATGGTCTTAGTTGTGTGAGGCTGAACCTTTCTGCAAATACCTCATCCAATCTGAGAATAATGTTCTACCCAAGTCATTTAACCTCTATTGTTGAGGAAAAGTTAAAGAACAAATATGTCCCATGTCCAGAGGAGGAGGAACTGTGGATCACATTCTTAGAAGCTGTCCTAAAGCACTAGAAGACGGTCTCTATCACTGGCACCATGACCAATTGCTGTAGGTATTTCTTGGGTCTATCTAGAGCATCATTTACCAAATTCAGCATCTCAGATCACCAAGGTGTGGAATCACATTTGTGAAACCAGAAGGAATATTAAGATCTCCACTAAAAAGCCCAAGCAGACCTACTTTGAACAGTACATGACTAGCAGATAAGGGTGGAGCAGGGAAAGCAACTCAGGTTCCCTGAAGAAAGTGCAGACACCACCCTTAGTTACTGTGATGACCTCAGAAACACTGAAACAGGTGGTCATGCTGGAGCTCACACTGCCCTGAGAGGAGAGAACAAATTGAGAGTATGCAGAACTGGTGGAGGAGTGCTGCAGAAGAGCCGCACGCATGGTGAATGTCAATTGAAATGACGGGCAGGGGCTTTGCAAGAAAATCTCTGTGCAAAGCTGACAGCCTCCTGGGCATCACTGGTGCACAAAAAAGAAAAGCCACCAGCAGAACTTCAGAGACAGCAGGGAAAGCCTCAAGATGGATGTGGATCAGAAGGGGCAAGCTGGTCTAACGTCTGAAGTTGAAAGACTCACAACACATGATGACCCCAGGAACTATCGCTGATGATGTGTCCAAGTGTATCAATAAATCTATGCCACAATCACATACAAGCTCCTTGTTTTGTCCCACTTAGGTGTGTAACAATTCTCCAAATCCACAATTCAGTTCAGACCTTATTTTATGGGCCACCTTTTTGTTTTGTTTTCTGGGGGAAGAAAAACCAAACTGTTTTCACACTGACTTGAATATGTGCCGGGGGGTTGCAGTCTGGGTTATTATCTATTTTGAGCTAATTAAATTAGCCTGCAAAAATTTACTGCAGGCGTGATCACTCAATCATGACTAGACCAAAATAGTCAATGAAACTTGCAGTTGAAAGACAAAAAAATCAGGTTGCAGTGTGTAATATACAGCTTGCCCTGATTATAAATAGAATGATTTCTTGGTGTTAATTCTGAAACAGGTTTTCTTTTTTTTTACAAAAGTAAAATAATCAGAGCTTAACATCTTCTTTCATGACTGAACTAAATACAAAGGTGACTAAAAAGTTAATTGGAGTGAAAAGGCTTTGGTAAAATAAAAGCTTTTGGGGGAAGGAAGCAGCTGGGTTACCTAAACAGAAAAGTGAATTTGTGTGTTATGCAGTAATGCGCGTGCACACACAGACACACATGCACATACACACACACAGGTTGACTTGCTTCACACCGTTAATCTAGGCCTATAGTTTGAGGCAAAGTGTTACTTTCAAGTGCACCGTGACTAAAGTTAGTGGACAGACAGCAGTGCCTCTGGCAAAAATACACCCTGTATCTGCATGTGGTGTGTGTTTGTGTGTGAGTGTCTGCGTTTATAATTTAAAGTAAAATACTCAAAGCCTCAGTTTAAAGCTCACTTGCAGTCTTAAGTCATTAGCATATTTCCACAGGATTGTGCTTGAGGTTTTCTGGGGCTCATACCTTTGTTTCACTGCACTATGGTACCAAATGGGACCAAACATACCTTTACATATTTATATCTTAGAGAGAGGGGGGTGAAAGGAGAACTCTGGTAGTACCTGATGTCTTATGCAGAAGAGTTTAATGTAGACTTGATGCATTAAGGAGATAAGAAGGTGGAACAGTATACAAATGCTAACAGAGTGACATCAGCACAGTTAGGCCTAAAGTATGCCTAAAACATGTTGTGTCCTTACATCTCGCCACTGGTGTAATACACAAAAGAGTTGGAGTAGGTGCCTCTCTGTCTGGGGCAAAATAATTAGAAATGAAAGTCCATGTACTGCTAGTTGGCCCTTTATCTATAACCTGACCAAAATCAAAAACCATTTCTTGATGGGATATACCAGCAAGTGGAGGTGAATGGCATTCCATTTCCTGTATCTTAAAGGTGGCATGTCTGAGTTCAAAACAAAATAAGAATAATGATTTCTCCTTTAATTGTGTCCAAGTAGAAATCATTATGAACAGTCTGTATTTTCTATTCTATAAAATATATGAGGATACTTTGTGAAATTAAATAATCTTTCTGAGGGACCTTTACAAGTGTCCATAAGGCCTCGCAAACCTTCAGTACATGCACACCAAACTGCAAGCTGACAGTTTTAATGTCAAATGGCTGATTGCTATGTTAGGTGTGGGGGTTCTTTTTTCTATCAAGGGTGTAATGGAAATTTTACATTTGTGTATGTTTAATCGCATGAGCAGACATGTATGTGGAGGACTGACCAAATGGTTGACCAAACTGTTAATCTAAAAGGGCAACCTTAAGGTTTACGATGGTGGCTTAAGAGACTTGAGTTTTATGGCCTCGAGAAACCACATCTTTATGGTATCTTTTGGTATCTCTGATTGGGATCTAACACCAGGGGTCTCACAGGGGGGTCATCCACAGAACATGTAAACAAATGGACAGGACATCTCCTCCACTGAGTGAAACTACAAGAGGGTAATAAAACCTTTGCATGCTTAGTGGGAGGGGGCTGTGAGTTATAAGAACACTGAGTCTCCTATGTTCATTGCTCATTTGTGCATGTCATTCAGGTGATGTGTACCGATGAGTCCATCAGCAGATGCTGAATTAAACTTTCAGAAAGAAGTGTTTGACTTTGTGCTTGTTTTACAGAAATTGCCACCACAAGGGCCAGTTCAGTTTGTAGACCATCCTTCCAGGATCCTACTAAATCACTGAACCCATATCACACAAACCCCTCTTATGCTATGGAACTGCTTGTCTTTGGTTAATGTCTGATGTCAGATGATGATGAAGATGCTACTCATAGCTAGTTTTAGCCAACCCCTCTTTTGCTATAGCCATGAATGGCTTGCAAATACTGAAATTCCTCCCTTGTATCAAACTTAGCAATATCAAAAATGGCGGTACTTGTTAAGTTTGGTGACCAGAGAGAAAAACCTTCTTGCGGTGTCCTTCATTGTTTTCTCAATATCTTGTTGGGAATCAAACTCCATCGAAGAGTGTTAATTTTATCCAAGAACATTTGTCCTCTCAACTCATTCAGTGTAGCTACATGTTTACAGCTGTAATGATGCTTGAGATTGGCCTTTTCCATCACTGTCAGTGATCAGTAATGATTTGTCCATTTTGTGCAAGTGCACATCCACTTTTGTTTTCTTGCCAGTCGCCATGATGATTGACGGAAGAGTTGCACGTGTCTTTCCTCCTAGACCATGACCTGCCAGGCATACTGCCATTTCTTCATTTCTCCCACTTCATTTTATCACAGAAAAAAAAAAAC